ATATCCTCAATGACTGATGTCGCAGGGGCAGATCACCAAGACTCTCTTCCTCTAGGTGGATTCAAAGCTCCAACATTTCTGAGAGCAGTGAAGTGTGTTCCCTGCTTGCACGACCCAATGATTCCCTTCCTTGTCATTGAAGTTTCTCAGCACTTTATATGCTAGGTTCTGTACTAAGGTCTTCTTACCTGTGTTATTTTATTTAAATCTCAACGAAGTTTATTGTGATCGCAGCTTATGGTGGAAGGATACTGAAGAGAACACCTGAGGCAGATAGGTTGCATTTTAAAAGCATAGTGAATGAGGAAACTCGGCTCAGCAAGGCGATGCAACTTTTCTTAAGCCAACACGCTGTGAGTGGAGGAGTGGGAACAGATACTCAGGATTGTGCTCTCTGCCCTAGTATCTGTCTGGTCAAAAACTGTCCTGGCTCAGGCTCATGACAGTTTGGTTCTCTAGCAATCTTTGTGCTCAGCTTGATACCAGAACAGTGTCGTCAACTGTCAAGCAGGCTACTGGTTAGGCTCCTGGCTAACTCACAGGATGGTTTTACAGCTTTGCTTAAATACCAGTACATATGAGGTTGCACGGGAAAGCTCAAGCACTGCATTGAGGAGAAAGATCATGCCCTACTCAGCAGTGAAGGGAAGAATAATCACAAAAAATGACACCACTTCCCAGTGTAGAAGATTCAGCTGAAGGGGGTGTTTGAGATCAATGCAGAGCATGCGGAACTTGATGGACCTCTGGAGGCATCTGCGCATATCTCTAGAGGAAACGGCGGAACTGCAATCTGGCAATGTGTGACTCTTCGGTTCTGGATCTTTCTAACCTTCCAGGAAGGATCCCTGGCAGCACAATAGTTAAATCACTTGACTGTTAACTAAAAAGTTAGTGATTTGAACCCACCAGCCACTCCATGGAAGAGAGGACCTGACCATCTGCACCTGTAAAGATCACAGCCCAGGCAAGCATTCAGGGCAGCTCTACTCTAATCCTATAGGATTGCCGTGTGGTAGAATGGACTGCAGGGCCCACAACGACAACAGCACCCTTCCTAGACAGTCTGACTGGTAGCTGGAGTAGTGGCTCTAGTTTTATAGGCTGATTTGATGGGCAAGTATGTTTAAGGAATGAAATGACTACCAGGCAAGGCAACTCAAGACATTTACTGATTTTAGTTTAGTTTCTGCAATATTATGTCTATATTTTAATAAAGATATACATTTGTTATATGTTTCTTTAGCTTCATTGTAGTTGTTACTAGAATGGACAGTTTTCATTGTTGATGTTTATAAAGTTTATCTTCTGTACTCTACTGAATTCTCCTTAGGTGTCAAATAGCTATTTGAGCACTACGGAATCCCCAACAACTACTACTGGAATTGGCAGTTAGCATGGCTTCACATACATCTCCTGAGCAAGTGCACGAGTGAACTGATCCCGGTATTCTTGTGGCGACCATATCCTTCTTGTGCCACAGCTGTCCGTCTCCAGGCTCTGACGATTTCTAGAAATGCTTTTTAATTGCAATCGAGCCTACCTTGACAGAATAGCATGAAAAAACCCCAGGATGTTTCATGCTACAATTTCTCTGGTGCTTTCAGGATATCAGTCATTTTCCAGTATTTATCAAACTGCCAGGTGTTTCCCTCCATGCAGAATATAGTCTGAGACCCTTGCTGTGTCAGGCAATGCCCACCTTGGCCTGGCACAGATTGATCTTACCCTCTCTGTTAATACCAAACTGCTGGGCACTCTTTCGACCTATTTAGCTCTTCACCCCAGTCTTTGTTCATGCCGTTCCCGATGTGTATCAAGCTTTTCTGTCATTCTCTGGCCTGGCCAACCCTTAGGCATTCATTGAGTTGAGTTGGCCCTTATCTTCTCAGGAAATCCCCTCAGCTCCCGAGTGTTAGGGGTTGAGATGACGCCCCCTACCTTGTGCTTTTCTTCACCTATGCATTGCTGATCTCCTGCTAGACTGAAATCATCTCCTGGGGTTGTCCTCCCTCATTAGGCATGTAAGTCATCAAAAATGCAGACAATCCATTTCTTCTAAAGTTGAGAACAATGTCTCCCTCTGGCCATGCAGTGAGCAATCAAAATGTTCGATGAACAAACTTGGTAGGTTCTAAATGGCATTCATTTTCCCAGGGGAAGCAACGTTGAGTTGAAATGTAAACGCTTTTTGGGTTAGTAGAGTGACCGTCTCAACAGTGACTAAGCACAGTCCTGTAACCACCAGCGGGGAAAGGAGGTTGGGGATTCCAGGTCACAGGGTCAAATTTAGGGCCAATCATAGTTGGCCTGAGCACTGGCTTCAATTCCAGTGTTACTGTGGACTGACTGACTCACCTGAGGGGAGAAGAGGTTTAGATGATTCTCTACATTGGAGGAATCATTTATTACCAGGACTGACCAAAAAGATACAAGAAAGGTAGACATATCTCTTGGCTCTGTTCTCAAACTTTTGAAAACTCTGATGTGATCTTGTGGAACAGGTTGGCACTGATCCCTGTGACTTGCTATCATCCCTACCGTGTTGTGGGGCCACATTTTCTCCCCTTGAAATGGAGTCTTCAGTTGTGGCAAAGGATGTTGACTTACCTGCCAGTCATTTTAAACATGCATTTTGATTGCAATTAATTAAAGAGACTTAATGAATGGTCAGTCTTAGGCAAACAATGTGCTGTATCCCCTAACTGCATCCTGTGTGTTCACTTACTCATAGCAGGCCTCTTTGTCTTTTAACTGCCTCTCATGCCATGAGTGTACTGAATTATAAGCCAGTTTGTACTACTCCTGCATAGAGACCTCAGACAAACCTAGGATGCTCGAGGAGATGTGATTTTACAATAAATGGTTTAAAAGTATTTCAGACAAACTTTCCACTTTTACGTCTGATTTAGCTTACCATTGATAATGATCTCTCTAATTTTCTTCCTCTGGTTGGAAAACACTAAGGCTTCCAATTTCTGTACTCTGTATTTCCATCCACTGAGCAGCAGATTTTTTTTGTTTTTTTCTTTTGTAAGTTTGGGTTATCAGTGATTTTCAACAGGTCCCATTAGAGCCATATATTTGCAAAAGCTCTGAAGGTGGTTCTGATCCCAAGGATGGATGACTTTGGTTCAGAGAATTTGATTTTCTAAATTGACATTTGTTTGTTTATTTGTTTTTACTTAAAGAAGTGTAGAGCAGTGTCTCAGTATCTCTCTACTTGTTTCTTGGAAATGAAGTCTGCGTTGGAAATAGAGCAAATGAAGTGCAGCTGCCTAAGCACCTGTCTGGTGTACATGGCTCAGCACTTGGCTGCTAACTGAGAGATTGGTGGTTCAAACCCACTGAGAGGTGCTTCAGAAGAAAGGTGCAGTGACTGACTCTGGAAAGATCACAACCATTGCCAACTCCACGGAGCAGAGTTCGTCTTAGAGGCCATCAAGAGTTGGAGTCCACTTGATGATAGCTTTAAAAAAAAATCTAAATACTTAGTAGGGTTTCTCACATGCTGTTTAGACATCTTTACTTTGGAATTGTTACTTTGGAAATCATTCATATAGCAATTCTTCTACATACGTGCTACAACTCCCAACTAAAATAGATTAGTGTAATGCTCTTGTATGTGGCTAATAAGTACTGCTTGATATAATTACTACGCCCAAACTCCCTGCCATCGAGTTCTACTGACACACAGAGGCCCTAGAAGACAGGGTAGAACTGCCCCTATGAGTTTCTAAGATGTTCACTCTTTATGGGAGTTGAAAGCCCTGTCTTTCTCCCATGGGGTAGTTGGTGGGTTTGAATTTCTGGCAGCCCAACACATAGCCACTATGCCTCCTGGACTCCTAGGGCTTAGTTGGGAGGAAGAAAAGACCCCACCAGCTGCTTTACAGGAGTAAGGGGTGGGGAGGTTCTCCTCCTGTGAAGAGCTGCAGTCTCAGAAACCCACCAGGGCAGTTGTACTGTCCCATAGGGTCACCGTGAGTCGAATGAACTCCATGGAGGTGAGTTTTTGAATAAGTATTTATCAAAGTAAGTGAATTTCAGGTGGTTCTTATTAGATTTATCTGCTGTTTTGAAAATATACCCATTACAAAAATGTGCAAAGCAATGGTTCTTCACATTTTTAAATACAAAGACCTTAGTATAAAAACCCAAATGCAAAACTGGGGACACCACCATTGCATTGTATCTAGTCACTACCAGGACTTCAAAGTCAAATTTAGGGTGGGCATTCAGGGGCTTTCCTTTGCCTGCAAAAGTTCTGCTCCAGTCACGTGGGGGATATGACTGGCCTTAGAGGAACCGTTCTTCAATCTGTCGTGATGTGACTGGTTTTCCCGGTGAGGTCCATGAGGCAATGCCATTTGCTGGTGCTAGAGAATAGCCACTGTTCTCTGTGGGTGGTGCCTCTGCCCTCCGGATGCAACAAAAAGCATAATGTTACTGTCTTGGCTAAAGGACACCCTGACCCATTTACCTAAGGCAAATCATCGTTTTAACGTTCAGTGGAGAAAAAGGACGTTTGAGGCTGAGGGTAGCCAATCACTGGCTTTTGTACAATCTATGATTGCCCTCATGGCTTCTGAGCAACTGGAAGGGCCCAGGGTCAGTGAGAAGACACTGATTCAAAGGAGACAGCTTGAGGAATATTTGTGAAAAATGAAGAGGGTGATTTTCATGGGACATCCCCTTTCTAGCCACCATTTCTGTCATTCAGAAACACGGGAATGCATTTAAAATGAGCAGAATTTCAAATCACATTCCTTCAAGGGAAAGATGCTGCCAGAACACCCTCAGCGCCCCCTCCAATACAGGCACCTCAGGTGGGATATCTAGATTGGCTACCCACCACCCCCCACCAACCCCAACCCCTGCACCGCCCCTCATACCGTGGAAAACCAGCATTCTTGTTTATTGACGCGGATTTTCTTTTCCCTTTCTCTATCCTTCTTTGCATCTGGCATTTCTCCCCTCGATTTTTCCTTCTTTCCCAGGTGTGTTTGATAACTGCTCCCACACGGCCAATGACAAGGGCTGGGCGCTGGGGATCCGCTCAGGGGAGGACAAGAGAAGGCGAGACGCTCGCTTCTTCTTCTCCCTCCGCACTGACCGCGTGAAGAAAGCCACTGTTGTGATAGGCCACCGCCCTTATCAAGCAGGCACGTGGACACACGTGGTCGCCACTTACAATGGACAGCGGATGGTCCTGTACGTGGATGGGACCCAGGTGGCCAGTAGTTCAGAGCAGTCTGGTCCTCTGAACAGCCCCTTCATGGCGTCGTGCCGCTCGCTGCTCCTGGGGGGTGACAGCTCTGAAGATGGCCACTCTTTCCGCGGACACCTGGGCACACTGACTGTCTGGTCAACAGCGCTCACACACAGTCACCTCCAGCACGGCCACAAGCATCCCAGTGAGTCCGAGGACTTAGGCGCCCTGATCCTGACGGCTAGTTTTGAGCCCCTGGAAGAGCAGTGGACCTCCTTTAGGGACGACAAGCAGCCACGCCGGGAGGCTCTCCAGAGCTTTGAGCAGGCGCCTGAGATTCTGTCGCCGCTGCAGCCACCCCCCTGTGGGAAAACAGCATGTGACAACGTGGAGCTGATCACCCAATACAATGTGCACTGGCCTCTGCGGGGAGAGAAGGTGATACGCTACCAGGTGGTGAACATTTTGGATGACCATGGCCAGAACCCCACTGTGAGCGAGGAGCAGATCGGTCGCCAGCACGAGGCTCTGAACCAGGCCTTCAGCCGCTACAACATCAGCTGGCAGATGAGTGTCCACCGGGTCCACAACTCCACCCTGCGCCACCGGGCTGTGCTTGTGAACTGTGAGCCCAGCAAGATTGGCAATGACCACTGTGACCCGGAGTGTGAGCACCCCCTCACTGGCTATGATGGGGGAGACTGTCGTCTGCAGGGCAGCTGCTACTCCTGGAACCGCAGGGATGGGCTCTGCCACGTGGAATGCAACAACATGCTGAACGACTTCGACGACGGTGACTGCTGCGATCCCGAGGTGGCCAATGTGCACAAGACCTGCTTTGACCCAGACTCGCCCAAGAGGTAAGGGTCCTTGGGTTGGGAGTATCTTACCCAAGAGGTGAGGGTCTCTGGAGGGTGCATTTCTAACCTTGCGTCATTCTTTTGGGCTCAGAGATAAGTGAGGGTTCACACAGATCCCAAGTACATTAACCCTCCCATCAGACAATATTGAATTTTTCTGAAGTAGTGGGTATTGCACCTCAGGGTACAGGAATGACTTGCTGAAGGATTGGGCTGCTAACTTCAAGGTCGGCAGCTTGAAAATACTAGCCTAGCCCCTCCACGCAGAAAGATGAGGTTTCCACTCGCAAAGATTTAGGTCTCTGAAGCCCACAGGGCAGTTCTACTCTGTCCTAGACGGGCCTTATGAGTCGGAATCAACTGGATGGTAGTGAGATTAGTTCTCAGAACTCTCCATCTAGAGGCCAGTCAATTGTGTACGCAGATCTGCACGCAGATCTATCTATACAGTGAACCCTCGTTTATCGCGGTTAATCAGTTCTAGACCCTACCATGATAAATGAAATTCCGCGAAGTAGGATTCCTTATTTGTAAATCAAATATTTTCGTAGTTAGAGCATAGAGGACATGAAAAAACACCCTTTAGTCACCATTACACTCGTATTACCCAATTTATTAAACGAAAAAGGGAAAATACAGTAAAACATTTTGGACGATACAATTATCATTTATTATTTTTTATATTATTTATGGCATCAAGCGTGTACAGTATGAGCCAATCAGTGGCAGTAATGACAGAGCATGCGCTGTTATGCAAAAACCGCGATAGAGTGAAGCCGCGGAAGTCAAAGCGCGAAGTGGCGAGGGTTCACTGTACACAGGAAAATGGGAGGACTTAATTTATCAGCGAAGTCAGAGTGTCTGTAGGCAACAAACAAGGTATACAATGAGAGTAAGCAACCAACACACGCTAACTCTTCCCATAGCCTTAGCTTCTCAGCAGAGTAATACAAAGTCATGAAGAGGCTGCGTATCTGGTGAGCCTCTTGGTGCAATTCCAGCAGCTTTACAAGCACACCCTGTTCTCCAGCTCCCTGCCTAAGAGCCATCTCACCATTTCCTTTAGGCCTGGGATTCCTTTATTCTTACCCCATTAAATGCCATTTTGCACACAACAGTCAGAGGGGTCTTTTCAAAAAGGTAAATCTGATACTTGCCTTTTTAAACAATAAGTGAAAATGCCCCACCTAACTCATAGAACGGTGCTGCACCTGAGCCCAGCATCATCCCCCACCCTACCCCATTGACCTTCCCACCCACACTCAGGACCTTATAAAGCCCAGTCTGGGTTCATTCAATGGTCAGGCATTTTTGTGACTTACATTAGCTACCATATCTGTCTGTTTAGGCTCTGGTTCCTCCTTGATCTTCTCCTTGTGAATTTTCTTTTGTTACTTAAATAGCTGCTTTAATGTCAACTTCAGGGATGGTCTTCCTTGATCACCCAAATTAAAGTAACTACGCAATCACTATTATATCCCTTAACTTTATTCTTCTTTCTAACATGGCCAGTTATGCCATTTTTCTTGTGTATCCATCCATCTATTTGTTTCTCTTTCCCCTGACTTTAGAATATTAGGTCTATGGGATAATTGTGCTAGCCTGGGTCCTTGGGTAATGCAAAGGTTTAACATGCTCATATGCAAAATGAAAAGATGGATGATTGGAATCACCCAGGGGTACCTCAGAAGAAAGGCCTGCTCGCCTATCTGAAAAATCACGCCCTGAAAACCTGATGGACTATAGTTCTACTTTGACAGATGACATGGGTTTCCCAGCGGTCAAGGTATATGTTATGCAATTGTATTTTTGGTTTTTAATTTCTAGTTTGTCAAATAGTACCTGACACATAGTAGTTATCTCATACTTGTTTTAATGATGAATGAATTGTGTGTGTGTGTGTGTGTGTGTGTGTGTGTGTGTGTGTGTGTTTTGGATTCTCATTCTCTGGCTGATACAGGGGTTGGAGGTTGAAGAGGAAGATAAGATCGGAATGAGGTAGGCAGTGGTGTCATGAGGGTTAGTGCCACACAGAGATGGATCTCTGCCTCTACCAGACCATATAGAATCCTTAGCAATTTTTAATCTGTTTTAATCATAGAATAAGATGTGACCAATATAACTGTAAGTTGCTTAAATGCAGTGGCACTTCTTAGGCTTTGTAAATACTAACAACAAAATTGTTTTGTAAAACATTTCTACACTGAATTACATGATTAATTACAATGTTATTAGTAATTGAACAGAAATCTTTTTATTTTTCCTTTTTCTTTAATAATTGCTACTTAATTTTCAAAAAGTTATTGATGTGGTGTATTAATTATCTAGTGCTGTTATTGCAGAAATCATAAATGGATGGCTTTCACAAACTTGAATTGATTCAAGTTGTAGGAGGTTAGAAGTTCAAATTTACTAGGTTTCCTACTCCTGGAGAAGTTTTTCTAGCTCTGTCAGCTCTAGAGGAAGGTCTATTCAATAGCTGGATCCTTGGAAAGCTCCATCTATCTTGGCATGAATCTTCTTGGGGGCTAGGTTCACAGTGAAAGAGCCCCAGCCAAGAGGACCCTGGCTCTTCTTTCTTGGTGGTACTGAGGTCATTCTGATCTCTGCTTGCTTGTTTAACATCATTTATATCTCAGAAGAGATCGACTCAACCTAATTTTGTAGATTATACCCTGATGCATTCACATAAATGCTTCTAATTCATCCTCTTTAATAGCATAGAGGTTAGGATTTTTTCTTTTTTTTAATTAAATAATTTTATTGGGGGCTTATACAATTCTTATCACAATCCATACATCC